ATTATTATTATACATATATTAATTATAAAAAAATATATTTATTGTATCCTTATCTTATACTTTAAAAGTACATGATAAAAAATTCTTGATAAAAAACAAAAATTTAGGTCCTCATCCCAACAAGCCCTCGTCACCCCAACAAGCAAGTTGTGAAGAATGGAGCTTCTAATGTTACCATATAGACCAGGTAACCACAAAGAAAACAAAAAGGCGATACATATGTCTGTTTCATACGTCTGTTTCAATTTGAAATTTATTACCTTCACAATGCCCTCTAGCATAACACTAATGGAACTGAATTTATTGTTGTGAGGTTGAGAGCCCACCAGCTATAACACATATTTATGTTTTTTTGGACACATCACGAACACTTGATCGATCGATGCTTTCAGCCAGTGTTTTGAAACTTGGACCAGACTGGTTGGTCGAACCAATCGAACTGCCACCCAATCATGAAAACAGACCAAATGCATATCCAGAACCGTTTAGGTGATCCAACCGCCCAAACTTGCCAAACCTAGTAAAACCGTCTAACCCAAAAGACCAGGTAAACCCGGCTAGCCAAACTCAAATCTGCCGTTTTCAATTTTTTCAACCATTTTTTAATTCAACACTTATTTTATACTTTTTTTTTGTTTGATACCCCTTTTTCCCTCCTCTACACATTACAATTCCATGGTAAAATACTTTAAAAAAAAAACATAATTTGGATGCAAATCAGTAAAATCAGATCAAGAACCCTAAGCCTTCTTCTTCAGTTCCTCGACTCATCACTGTTCTTCCCAAATCTCCAGTCTGCAATTCTCCTTCTCTAGTTCTCTAAACTCTAATCCATTGATTCTACAAATTCCAAACAAATTGCAAAGAAGAAACCCAAAACAACGATTCCTTATCTCTTCTGTCCAAATTCGGAATCACACTTCTTCTGTTCTTCATCAGATCTTCATCTTGTCACCATCGCCAAGGTCATTCTCTCTCTTGATCGGTCAATCCTCATACTTCTTTTGTTCTTCATCAGATTTTCATCTTCTCGCCAAGGT